CTGAAATAATCTAGGGAAACGACGTGTGAAGTTGATAGATTTTAATAGTATGATAGACAATGATATAATAGATCCCTATGTCAATATTCTAATTATGAAGACATACAATATTTTTGAAGGATCTTGTGTATCGTTAATAGTAATGTATTAAAGATTCAAGACATATTTACTATTTTTTTTTTATTGTTTCATAAATACATCAAGGTGTGTGGTCCTATATTATTTAGATAGTTCAACAAAACTCATGAAATAGGCCAATTAAATATATTTAATGTTGCTGTATAATAAGAAAATGGAGCATTAGCACTTTTGATTGTTGATATGTATAAGAAGATTTATACGTACTATAATTTAATGTCTAATGTAAAATATAAGATTAGAAGTTATTATAAAATTATAAATGTTTAGCAGAAGCCTTTTAGATCTTTTGTTTCTATAAATAAATTTAATGAAGTTTGTTTCCAATGTTGCAGGTGAACACATTGAAGCATATAAGTGACACAAATCTAAAATTATTGTATCCCAGAATTATGCCAATAATCAAATCAAAGAGATAATAACAAAAAAAATATAGTCTATCCAAAGATTGTTATGCATAGCCTAAATCAAAAGGATGGTTACTATAAACATTCAATCGTTGATTAATTAACCAATTAATGACTTTTGCATGTTCTAGGAATGATTGTTTTGTATTTATCATGAAGTATATTGAGCATTTACTATTTGGATTTCATGTGTTATTATGAAGAATACTTCCATAGGCAAATGAAGGAGTTTCGATTGTAAATTGTATGATCAATTTTTTATGACACAAACTTTTTTACAGATAATTTGCTTCTTAGTTTCTATAAAGTTGCATGTATCTGGTGGAAATTATGCATGACTTTATAAATCTTGTGCAATATAGAATGTCAGTGTACATGATCAATTTTGTGAAGAATAAGATTCTCCAAAAATTTTGATATTCTAAAATTATATAGATAATTAAAGTTTTAGTCATGTAAAAATATTTCTATAATATGTATCCTACTATGTAAATAGAATTGTATAAACTATGGATATATTCTAGTGTTTTGAGATAGTAAAAAGTATTTTTCTAATATTGATGAAACTGTGTATAAGTCAATGTTGTTAGAAAAAGAGCATTTGAGTGTGTCATTTTTTTTATCTATAATAAAATATCATACACTCATGTAATATTTTTTTATATTTGACTTTTTATATATGTCTCAAACACATGGTAAAAATATGACCTTCAGAAAATATTTTGATATACTATTTTTAGCTGTAGCACAAAATTAGTGTATTGCATAGCAAGACTTGAGAAAATGTCATAAATTTAGAAGATGCATTTGAATTGGATCCATCCACATGGATACATTTCAATATTTTTATTTTAAAATTTTTTTGATATTTTTTTGAATTACTCAGTTCCTACATTGTGTGTCATTTTCTTTTTTCTAATTTTTTAGAATTTTTTTTAAAAATTCATATACTAGTATAATATTTTTTTGACATTTGAGCTTCAAATTAGGTTATAAACAACTGATAAAAAATTGACTCTAAAAAATATTTCCTTGTATACGATACACTATTTTTGACCATAGTTAAAAAAGAGTGTATAGCAACAAGACATGTCAAAATGTCTTGAAATTTTGATAATACCTTTGTATTGGATTTATTTGAACATATTTCTATTTAGAAAATTAGTTTGATATTTTTTCTGAATTATTCAATTCTTGCACAGTATATTATTTTCTATTTTTTTTAAATATTTTTAATATATATATATATATACACATATATATGTATATATATATATATATATGTGTATATATATATATATATATATATATATATATATATATATATATGTATGTGTGTATATATGTATGTGTATCGTAAGACTAAAACAATTATATAACGATAAAATATAAAGCGATAATGATGAGATAATGGCAGTCTTACCAAAGAAAATAATGAGAGGTTTGGACTTTACAGATGTTAAAATTCAATAAAATTACCCAAGGAAAAAAAACGCCAACAGGTCAAGAGACTTCCAAGCCAATGTCTACCTTATCACTGGAGTCGCAGAAATATCAACCTCCCGCTGGCCGACGAGTCCACTTCCGAATGATTGATGCACACAATTGATATTTATAATGTTAAAAGCCCATAAAACTTGATGGCCACTCATTGTTATTATCATCATTATTATCATGTAAAGGGCAGCAACCCCAAACCAAATCCCCGCTCTCGATATATACGTACATATCATCCTCACTTTTACCGCCGTCCATTCTCCGTGAACACTTCCAAGGAGAGAGATCTACACCAAGATAGATCGAGCGATGGGGATCGCAATTGAAGGAGTCAACGACAGCAGCATCCCTCACGTCCTCATGGTGTCCTTCGCCGGCCAAGGCCACCTCAACCCCCTCCTCCGCTTCGCCAAGCGCATCGCTGCCAAGGGCCTTCTCGTCACCCTCTGCTCCACTGACGACATTGGCTACCGCATCTCCTCCTCCACCGCCGACTCCGCCCTCGGCGTCCCCAAGCCCGTCGGCCGCGGCTTCGTCCGCTTCGAGTTCTTTTCTGATGGCCTGCCCGTCGATGACCCCCGCCGCAAGGACCTCGACGTCCTCATGCCCGCCATCCGGGCCACCGGCCCACCGGCCCTCGTCGACCTCATCCGGCGCCAGGCTGACGCCGGCTGCCCGGTGTCGTGTATCATCAACAACCCCTTCTTGCCGTGGGCGCTCGACGTCGCCGCCGACATGGGCATCCCCGGCGGGGTCCTATGGGTCCAGTCCTGCGCCGTCTTCACCACGTACTACTCTTACTACCACTCACTCGCCGAGTTCCCCACCGAGGACAACCCGGACGTGACGGTTAATCTGCCGGGCCTGCCGCCGATGAAGCCCGATGAGCTCCCCACCTTCCTCCTCCCGTCCTCTCCCTTTAAGCCGCTGAGGAAGGTGATCCTGGAGCAGTTCGGGAACATCTCCAAGGCGTCGTGGGTGTTCGCCAACTCCTTCGAGAAGCTCGAGCGCGAAACCATCGACGCCATCTCCCACCGGCTGCAGCTCATACCCGTGGGGCCGCTGGTGGAGCCGGACGACAAGTCGCAGTCGAGCATCCGGGGCGACCTGTTCAAGGCGGCCGACTGCATGTACTGGCTCGACGCCCAGGCGCCGAGCTCGGTCGTGTACGTGTCGGTGGGCAGCATCGTGGTGCTGAGCGAGGAGGAGATGTCGGAGCTGGCGTGGGGGCTCAGGAAATGCGGCCGGCCCTTCCTGTGGGTGGTGCGTCGCGACACGCAAGCGCTGCTGCCGGAGGGGTTCATCGAGGAGGCCGGCGACCGGGGGCTGGTGGTGGAGTGGAGCCCGCAGGACCGGGTGCTGGCTCACCCCGCCGTCGCGTGCTTCGTGACGCACTGCGGCTGGAACTCGACGCTGGAGGCGCTGACCGCCGGCGTGCCGGTGGTGACGTACCCCCAGTGGGGGGACCAGGTTCCGGACTCCAAGTTCCTAGTAGAGGCCTACGGCGTCGGGGTGCGGCTACGGGCGCCAGCCACGCGGGACGAGGTGGAGCGGTGCGTGGAGGCGGTGACGCAGGGGGAGGGCGCGGAGGCGATCAAGACAAGGGCAGCAGAGTGGAAAGAGGCAGCGGCAAAGGCGGTGGAGGAGGGAGGCTCGTCGGACCGCCACATCCAGGCCTTCGTGGACGAGATCAGGAACAGAGCCTCCTGCAGCGGCGACAGAGCTGCAGTTTGACATCCCTGCCGCTACGAGATGCTCATTACGTGGGTCCCAAACTCCAAAGTTACCCTCACTCGTATCGGTCTGTATTAAGTACGTGTAATATCTTTTATCTACTAAAATTACGTGTAACCAATCGCATCGCATCGCATCCATGTACTCGTTTCGAGATTCGTGCGAGTCGATCTTGCAATTGTCCTTTGCATCATCGATTCATGTGATTCGGTCCAATCATAAAGATACTGAATTGGTTTTCTGCGGCTACGGAGAGTTGCAGGTTGGAGTCGCCGACCATTTTGATGGCGAGTTTTCATGTCAAGCTTGTCATGGGAATAATCCCATGTGCTACCATTCTACATATGATGACGTCAAACCAACCACATTTTTATTCACATCAACTATTATGTGCTTTTCCATATAGTGATATATATTTATATATATATATATATATAATATTATTTTTATGAGCTAATATATAAGGATGGTGAAATCTAATGCTAAAATCTCCAGCATTTAAGTTGTCGCAATGTTTGTTGGTGGGGATTGCCGTTAATGTGGCCCAACTTGGGCCATAAATTATGTCGTACCGAGTCCACGATATTGTCGCGTGGGTCAGTTGCGTCTTGATGTGTCTCAATGAATGGATTGTTTCGTCAAATAGACTCAACTCGCCGAGATTACCACCGATCTCCACGTCAGAGTCCTTTGACTGGAATTGATTCCGTGTACGTCACGCCGTTGGGCGGCGACACGTAGCGCCCTTCGCCGTCGTCAATCTTGCCTTGAGGTTGACTTGAGCAAATCGACGGTGCACGTATCGTATAATTTCTCTGATACGGCAAACATGTCGCCGTCGTACAGAAGCGGAAGAGTCCACCAAGTGGCCGCCATGACGACTCCCTTCTCGAGCTGAAGGCCTTACACTTGTATGTGTTCCCTGCGATCTGAAGTAGAGAATTGTGTTCGGAGACCAAACCCAAGAAGATACCTCCTTTTTGTTTCTTTGTTGTTGCTGAGAGAATTCTTTGATGCTTTTTATAATAGGAAAAAAATGAAATCCAAACAAAAACATGCAAAAGCAACGGTGGGATTGTTTTCCGTATGTAAGACGACAGCTGAGTTTGAAATGAACGACAAGTCTTCAGAGATGCCGTGGAGGATTGGCCGAGCGCAGAATTGGTGGAGGCTTGTCACCATGCTTTGCTAAACAACAGATTAATGGCTCTTTCTCTCTCGCACCAATCTAGAAAACGATGAGCGTAAAGTCTCATGACGGTGTTTTAGACAATGGATGAGCGGTGTCAAACACTGCCGTATGTCTTGCTACCGCCATGGCAAGTGCTACATAGTCGTCGTTTCACCCACTCACAGGCATTCTTTTTCTCATGCACGTAAGTGCTATCATCATCAGACCTTCGACGAGTCTCACATTCTTCCAGCAATGGCTTCCCCCAACTGGTCTCACAAAGGCTGCTGCTGCAAGCAGCCTCTTCATGGTCAATTCTCACAGTCAACATAACAGTTGGTGAGAAAGGAAGAGTCGTCAATGGCTTCCTTCCTCCCTGGTCGCCTGCGAGAAGCAGTCATTAATGCTCACCGGGGACCCTCTTCCTCAATTCCTAATTCCACTACGCCACCTCCTTCTTTCTTCTCCCGTCGCAGAATTCCTGCTCCTCTCACGCCCTTTTTCCGCTCGCCTTTGGCTTCCTCCGCGATGCTTCCTGGGTGGCTGGCGCATGCAGCAAACTCCGTGGTGGAAACGACGTCACCAAGGTTCATTCGCCAGTCAAACTGAGGCATCCATCGACTCTGACCTACCTGCATATAAAGCAAACCCACTCCCAAGCCCCATGCATCATCTTGCAGCAGTCACTCGCCTGTGCAACAGCCATGGCCGCGAGGTGCAGGTCTCTTCTACTCTTTGCTTTGGTGCTGGGTCTCGTACTCACGGCGCAAGCTCGGCCTCTGAGCGTTCTCAACCCACGCGGCGCGGGTGACGACAGGGTTGTCGACTTCCTTCTCGGAGAGATCAAGATCAAGACCGGAGGCGGAGGCCATAACATGGCTGGCTTCGACTGGAAGGCGGTCAAGGATTCCGGGCCAAGCCCAGGGATCGGTCACTAGGGATCTCCATTTCCTGTAGCACCACCGTTGATTCTGTTTCTTGTCGAGTGTGGCACTTTGTGACTCGGATATTATCCATTGAATTGATTTGTTTATAGGTTTAATTAATGTATCTCATAAGATGAAATAGTTTATGATTGATTGCTTCTGTCGTTAGATTCACATAGTCGCGAGTGGAGGACGTGACACACCGTCTGTCTCAGCACCTCGAGCCGTGAGTTAAAGGGGTCTTGTACGTATAGGGAGTAGAAAAGTGGGGACGTTCGACCATGCTTCTACTTCTCCTTCTCCCCCTGCTCTCCCTGGGAGTAGAGGAGCAGGTCAAAAGAGGAAGAAGAAGAAGAAAGGTGCAGGAATATGATTCCACAATCATTGTGTGGCCCGAGAGAGCAGTGTTACATCTCTCTCTCTCTCGGACAAAAGGGAACCCCGCGCCACCGAGGAGGAGGAGGAGGAGGAGAAGTGGGTGGGATCTCTTCTTTCCACTCTGACGAGACATGTCCATGAGTGTGTCTCCTCGTTTGGCATGCGTGCGCGGTTCTCAAAGCAAATGGGATGCCAGCCGAAGCTTAATGACACAGATAATGCTTGAAACAGACATCAAATGAGCTGAGATCATATCTTGCTTACATCCATCATCGGGTATGAAAAGGCCAGTGAAGTGGCTACAAAGACGGTGGTCCAATTGCACATATAATTGTACCTGAAACATGACGGATCGCTAAGTGTGCAGCAGATACCAATGCATGTGATCTCATCACTCTGCAACAGCTCCAAGCTTTGGTCCAGAGATGGCCTGGGCTCAGTTCTCTGCGACTCCCCAGCTGCTTCCCTCATTGCCCAGTGCTTCAGAAGGGAGCCGATCTCACCTCCACCATCTTGTCCGTGCCAAAGGAAAAGACAGAAAGGAAAAGGCGAGGGTGGACTCGAGGACAAGACATGGCTGTTGCATCGTCCTTCCTCTTCTTTCTCCTACGGTTTAGCTGTCGCAAAATGCTTGTAGTAGAACAAAAGAGGCTTTGATTTATGCCACATCACAGGAGTACTCATATGGTTTATCGTTTTAAGATCCCTGTTACCTACAAACAGGACATCAGTTCATCTCCTCTTATGCCAAAGAGAAGTAGAGATACAGCCTAACGCAAACAGACAAGTGATCAATGCCCGACCTATCTCCCTCCCTCCGCCATAAGCTTTTAGCGAGGGATGCTGAATCCAAAGAGGAAAGAGCTTTACAGGAATATCAGTGTTTGTTGCCATTTCTGAGACCATAGAGAGAGAGAGAGAGAGAGAGCAGTAATGGGAGAGGAGTGAACATGCATTGATGAGAAGTGAGAGGTGGATGACAACTAGTTGGGAGGATGATGGCAGTGGGTTCGGTGTTTCTTCAACATACAGATGAAAACAACATTCATCAGAACAAAGATGGAACGAACAATGCTAATGCCAGCATCTCTGAATCTTCTTCTCATTTCCCCTCCCCTTTCTTCTGCTTCACGGCCACCTGAGTCCCAACCAAAATTGCTCCGAAGTAGCAGACACGGGATGCAGTGAGCTGCCATATCTCCTGGGAACAGCTAGTTCATGATAATTACATCGTAACAGGAGCGAGGACCGCATGCTATACGATCTCCTCACTCCCAGTGGCTTTCTTGGCGGTGCAGTTTCTTAGAAGGACGATTCTCCGGCGAAGGCGACGCCGAGGGCTGATGCGTTGCCCACGAATCGTCGCCGCTCGACGAGCTCTTGCAACTGAAGCAGGAACCAATCACCCAATTGGGACTATGTGGGGAAGAGTAGTTGACGTTGTAGTAGGAAGAGGAAGTGGAATGCTTGCGCTTGGGGCCGAAGAGGCCACCACCGTAGACCATCGATTCCATGATGAGCTGATAACATTCTTCGACCTTTTCCTGTAGCTTTCTTTATCGGTTTGTGCAGTTTAAGAACGAGACACTTAGGACAAGCAAACAGTCGGAGAAGCCAAACCTTTGGAACGTGGAGGAGGGAAATGAGGTGGTGGGTCACCTGGGAAACCGAGGCAGTGGCGGCGATGGTGCCTGCACCACCTTCCGCCGCGTGGAGTAATGCCGCCGCCGCCCACAGGGATGCAGGATATCGGGCCCATCTCCAATCTTCAATAAGCCAATCCAAAGACGAAGTGGTGTAAATAAGAAATATTAAGCCTTTGATTGAAGAAAGGAAACATTTTGATGAGCTCTCACCAGCTACGACGGACAGTAGAGCAGCCTCAGAGTCACCTTGCAACTCCTTGACACGGGCAGCGGAGGCGGCGGCGGTGGTGGATATAGAACAGAGTCGAGGAAGGAGATGGTGGATGAAAGCGAGTGGAGTGACGGAATTCATCTTCCAGCTGAGCGCCGAGAGCAGCAGGAGCTCCATCCGCCGGATGGTCTTGGCCTCGAACACGTACCTGTTCTCCTCCGTTCCCGGTGGCGTCGCGACCTGAAGGTCGAGGAGAAGGGGAACCCGCGTCTCCTCCACCTTCGCCGCCAGGGACAGGGCGGCCACCGCCGCCAGGCGCCCCATCCACACCTTGTCCCTCTGCAGCCGGAGGCCTCCTGCAGCGGCATGAGGAAGGAAGCACCGGTCGAGGTAGTTGACGGCGAGAAATGTGGTGACGACAGAGAAATCGTGGCTCGCGGCGGCGTGCACCACCCACTCCACTACCTCCCTCCTCAACGACAGGAGGTACGCGTCATCACCACCGTCGCCAGGCAGCAGCTCAGGGCGGGTCTCCTCGTCTTTGGCCGCCAGAGAGCAGAGCACCTCCGCCCATTCCTCCTCCACCACCGCGTCCGGCTCTTCCAGAAGCGCCAGCATTGGCCTCTTTCGTTCTTCTTCCTGTTCCAAGCTGTCTTCCTGGCAACACAGAGGATCCAAAAGAGCCATCTTTAGCTCTCTTCTTCTACTCCTTTCTTACCTCAAAACACCGCAGCGAACAATGAGCGAGTGAGGAGAAAAAGGGAAGAGGAAAAGAGGGAGGGAGGCACTTCCCCTCATCCCCACCCCTCAAAACGCCCTCTCCGGTGTCTCCTCTCTTTCTCCCTACTGTCCACCTAGTATTGTGAGTGAGAGAAGTGGCGGCAAAGCCTGGTTGGAGAGCAGAAAAGGGTGGGTATTTTAAGGAAATGGTTGGGGTATCTCCGCGACATGGCTGGCCGCTTTTTGTCGTCCCTCCATCAACTGTTCCTTCTCTCTCCCTCTACTTTGTGTATCCAAACAGAAACCTTCTACAGTACTCCTCAGCAATTCTGGTCATAGATGAAGCATCATCGTCAACAGAGAGATAGATAGATCAACGAGATCAAGCTTTAAAGACGTGAAACAATGGAAGGAGCAGGATCTGTGTTCATAAACGGGGGGGGAGGGCAGGAGTGCAAGGGACTGATTACGAGCCACTGATCTCTCTTGTCACCCGAACAGAGGTCATCATCAAAACCAACGCCTTCCAAATCCTCCACAGCAGTAAATGCCAAGGAGAAAGCGTCACGCAACTGTTCCGGAAAAACATACAGATGACTGCTGATCTCTGAATGCATCGAAGGAAATAAAGAAGAGCACAATTCCAAGTTTCCATGCTTCGCTGCGGCTGTCTTTGCTCTCCTCTACAGTAACCCGTGTGTTATGGTCGGAGGAGAGCTGGTCTCATGGTGTCACTCCTTTAGTGTCAGCTGCAGTATCAAGGTTTGGGACAATTACAGGAACATGCTTTCCTAATTAAACATAAAATAATATGACAAGGGAGATTTCCCCAAAACAATTTTTTTTTTTAGGTTTTAAATGAAAGGTACTCTTATTTTTATTTCATCCATATGATATCTTAGTGTAATCTTATCTTTTGCTATTGCTCGTCGTTTTTGTCACATTAGTTGTTAGTGATAGAAGATAAGATTTCCGATAAGATTTCCCCAATTAGATGAGGAAATCTCTCTATTCTGTTTATTCTGTTGAGGGAAATCCTTTCTCCTAATCTGTATAAATAGGAGAGGGAATATGTTAATAGATTCAAGCTAAAGCTATTTTATTTCTATAATAAAGCTTCTTTAATTATTGTTCTTATCTTCTATTATTTCTATCATGGTATCAGAGCCGCTTGCCTAGAGCAAGCTCTCTTCTCGCTGCCAATTCATCATTGGTGTTGCCACTCTGCGCCAACGTCCGTTCCCTTCCGCTACGGCATCTCTAGTGCTGCTCATCAGCACTGCCCCACCTTTCTTCGTCGTTGTAGCTATTTTCCTTTCTCTTCTGCTACAGTTTCCTCTTCTACTACAGCTTCCTCCTCTGTTGCAGTTTCCTCCTTTGCTGTAGTAGCATCA